CCCTTTACCTTTTTGTTGGGTTACGACGGCGACTACTCCACCCTCTGAAGTATCGCCACCCGCCTCTGCACCTACTCCCTCCTGGAAGTTGCCGTCCAACTCGATGGTTGAACCATCATTGTCGACAAACATAATGCGACCTTTCGCTTTCCAGTTAGGAGGCAGTGTCTTCTTTCTCCCTTCCGTAGTGGGTGTCTGTCCATGCCCTATCTTTGCCTCAAGGTCTAGGGCTACCTTGCTGAACGAGGGGAAGTTGTGCATATTGATGTTGGCCTCTTTTGCCAACTGGTTCCTGAGAGGCTAAGATAAGCACCTCAAGTACGAAGTTAACAGGACCTGGGGGTCATAGCGTACCCCTGGAACACAAATCAAACGCTCTACAGCGTTGGTGGCAACCCTTACTGACTTAAACTGCCACGTGTGCAGCGTCAGGATCACATCAGTGGCCTTTTGAGCCTCCTGAGGATCATGCCACCTTTCTTCCACCATTTTCAGGAAGTCCTCCAATTTCTGAGAGGCTGCCCGAGAGCGGAAGTCATGACCGTATCCCTGGAGTTGGACTAACCCACTTAACCATCTTGCTGCACTACCCTCTAGGTAGGATGCAGCCACAAGCACTTCTTCATGTGGCAAGGTGAGTTTACACCTGACATAGACCGGCACTGCCCTCAACCATGTGTCGAGATCTTCGCCTCTCTTGTCCCCTGTAAAGGGTTTGGGAGCGGCGATGGCCGTCTTTGGAACCCATTGACTTTGTCCCGGTCCCTGCACCAACCTGGGCTGTGGACCCGGCGATACAGGTTGTTGTGCTAGCTGCTGGGGCTGTGTGCCCTGAGGTTGCACTGACTGCGAGATAGCAGGCTGCGTGGTGACTGCAACCTGTGATGGACTTGGAGTAAACATTATTTGTACAAGAGCCTGTAAACTACTCCCTGTTGTTACCCCTCCTAAAAGCGGCATGCCGAGAGAAACTATTGCAACCGTTGAAGGGGCTACATATGGGGATACCCCTGTCACCGGTGGGACAGAAAAAGGAGGATATGGCACGGGCCAGGCACCAGGCCCGGCTGGTGATGGTGTTGCCTGAGCGCGGCCTGACAACACGGCCAGACTCTGTTGAATGTCCTGAAGGATGGTAGTCTGGTGCTCCTGCATCTCTATAACCCCTAGCAGGGCCTTCCTAACTACCCTCACATCATCATCCATATGCGTCAAGTCCATCATTTCTAACTCCTCTATGTCTGTCTCTCTTTGCTGCATCCTAGCGCTTCTTCTAATCATCACCTCTTTCTCCCTTTTTATCTTTCCTAATGCCTGCTGTAGCTGTGCCTCCTGCAGGGCTGCCTGCTGGATGGCGACATCCTCCGGGGTCAACACCGCGGGCTGGCTTGCCATTAAGCCAGTAGACTGACTCACAGTCTGTGCGACCGTGGACCTGGCGGTACCTAAACTACCGGCTTGAGAAGTCTGCTGCGCAGACATGGTCATGGCTGTTGTAGCGATGGCTGTTGTAGCACCAGCCTCACCAAATTAAGGTTCTGCTGGCCTCGGCTGCTCTAGCTCTCCTCTCCCTTTGCCGGCGGAACAGTTCCCTATCACCCTCCGGTCCTAGGGACACGTGAGTTAACGGGCCTCTGGCAGATCGCAAGATCCTGCGGTCGTCCTCTCCGGTGTCCCCTGTGTCGCTCATGGACTACAACTCTGTGCAATGTCTACACTAGATCATTCTAGATGCCTACCGCAACTTAGTGCACAGACCAACTATTTAGTGGTGGCTATTTTTGGAACAGATCTCATTTGGGGTCAACAGGTAAGTCAGATTCCTACTGTCAATACTATTTTTAGTAATATTAGTTCTCAAACAGAGAAAGCATCATGAATAAACAATATTCTAAACTAATGCTGTCTGTCAAATGTCACATGGCTGTCCATCTAACTAATCAAAAATAAAAATAATGTTGACTGATTGGGTCTGTTCATAGCATGGAATTAAAACCCGAACTTATCACTTGGAACCTACCCCTCCCTTTGTTCTCCTGAAAGTCACGGTGTCACATTTCTTCGCATCAGAAGCCAAGCGTGTCTTAAAGGTGTGCAATCCGGTCCCACCCCTGTGCCCCGGGTTATCGTCGAGCAAGGCAGCCACAACACTCTTATTTACCCTCATACGCCGACGAGCCTTCCACTCGGATGATCTGGCTGATCAAGAGGCAATTTAACGTCCGCCCCCAAGTGACATCAGAAATTATTTTACGTCGCAGCAGGACGACGATCACAGCCAGATCAGAGCCGAGTCCCCAACCAAAAATGTTTATAGACGGTCTGGTAAGCGTCTGTAGAGGCCGCCACACTCGAGTTAACCCCTATCATGCGCAAGCAGCAGAACCAACGACTTGCAGCGAAGCATGCGTGTACTACACCCAGTGGGTTGGCATGGTGACCGTGACCCAGTGGGTTGGCATGGTGACCGTGACCCAGTGCTTCGTCCAGGGCCCTTCAAGAAGCTCCGCCCGTCTTCCCCCAGATGCTCCACGTGAACAATCACGACTCTCAAGGTTGAGCGCACATGACACCTCACGATGAGAGGACTCTCAAGACAGAACTCACAACCTCACGGTAAGAAGTGATGAAGAGGGTAGGTAAGGTTAAGAGCAACGTACCTCGTTCATGCTGCCCCCAACCACAAAGATAATCTCACCATATGACCTGAAGATGATTGCGATGACCAGTCACAACATCGACACAACCAGCATTTCGCCGTTCCACCTCAGCCTCAATCACCCAACAGATAGTTCTCATCACACTGCGAACACCCAATATTTCCTCCAAGCGATGCCCCTCACCACCTGGGTAGCCTTCACACTCATCTCCACCCTCCTCACTACACACCACTTACGGCCAAACTCTCCCAGCAGACAGCATGTATGTACCGTATAAGGCAAAAGACAAGCGCCAGATGAGCGCAATCGTACCACAGCTCCGATACCAAATTGCAAGGAAGATAAGCATTAGCGAACTTCAGCAATCAAACATCATCATACATATGAGCCCAGATAGTCTTGACCTCGAACCACAGCAGACTTGCATCACGAGATACACCAAGAGTTCAAAATTGACAATGATGTAGTCCCATCATCAACTACGAACCAGAGTTGATATCCTATTGGCGCTCGGCGCCCAGACTACATGTGGCAGGTCCTATCTAGCCTATACTACAAAGCAGAATGATGACATCAACAACATTCCCGAAGTACGAGCATATGGCGACCAATGTCGCACGCTTCAACACCAGGTATGTCTCTCGTAACACTCACAACCCCGATCCACACCGCACAGATGCCACTAGCACCCAAGGACCACCCTGCGCTTCACCTAGCATATAGCCGCGCAGCTTGGCTATGGCTGCGTGCTACCTCCTACTCACGCGTGAGAGCGTGAGTGCCAGCCAGCCAGCGGATTGCGCAGCAGCGCTCACGCAGCATGCAACCAGCACCCGAATGCCGAATGAGGAGGCAGGTCCTTCCCTATATCGAAGTGGCCTGCCTGCGTCCAGTCTAGGAAGCTTCCGGTAGGCCCCGGTAGGCACAAGCCCAGTCACGAAGAGAGCAGGCCTTGGGCCTGAAGTGGTTGCATGCGCCCAATTGCTTTCGGCCTGTGTTTGGCCCGGTACCCGTATCCAGCCCAGGGCCTGCTTTACATTCATTTACACAGGCGGCCCAGGGCCTGAATTCATTCAACCAATTGGCGCAACGCAACTGTCTGAATTTCCCCGATGCGGGGTACCCTGAAGAATGAGGCCCGAAGGGCCTGTCGTGCCTGCCTTCACTTAGGGCGGCCGACCTTGTTGCAGATAGGGCCCCGTAGGGGCTAAGCGGGCGTAGCCTCGCAGAAGTGGATCCAAGTCCGAGTTGGGGGTGGGGGGGGTGCGCCCCTCCCCCCCCCGCAACTTGAAACATATATTCCTCAGTATATATTGAAAAAAACAAAAACATTCACGTGCACTTCTTAGCGGCCCGGTGTGGGTTTTATATGTGGTGAAACAAGATATGGATCCAAGTGCAACGAGAAGCCCTCCGCATACCCTATCAAAGAAAACAAAAAAAGAATAATATTCTCGACTATTCGCTACCAAAAAAATAAAATTAATGTGCACTTCTTAGCTGTCGGAGTGTGGGTTTCGTGTGTGGTGAAGCATGAAGTGGATCGAAGTCCGAGTTGGGGGGGGGGGTGTGAGGCCCCCCCCCTCTCGCAAGTTGAAAAAAAAAAAAAAACATATATTCCTGAGTATATATTGAGAAAAACAAAAACATTCACGTGCATTTATTCGACTGTTCTTTTTTTTTTTTTTGCATTCTTTTCTTACTCCTCTGTCTCTCTGTATCTGTATCTCTCCATCTCTCTCTCTCTCCTTTCTCCCTCTCTCTCTCCCTTTCTCTGTGTCTCTATCCATCTTCCATTTCTTGAATTCGTTAATTGTGCTCAAATTTTGCAGTTGGTTTTGACCTT